AGATACTTAGAGACTTATAAGAAGACAATTTAAAAGAAAATCGTTCCTTACATAAACTGACCGGCAAAAAAAACCGGCCACTATAAATTTGCCACAACTTCAAAGCTGGCTTTCTCGCGAACCGCGCATTCGATTTTGATGATTCTTTTTTTGATGGAAAGGTTGATTCTTCTGTAATAATCCTGCCATAGACATTTTCGTTCAGATTTTAATTTGAGCATATACGGGGTGAGAAAAATGAGAAAAACTTTTATTCTCGAAATTTGTAACACCCTGTGGGGTGCAGCTGCTACAGCAGAGGGTATTACCCGGAATCAAACAGTAGCCCAATTTTTTCTGAGCATTTTCTTTTTTTATTCACCCTATTATCTCTGTTACTAACGAAGATGCAGTATTTTAAAGCGATCGCCTGTGAAATCAAGATGAGCGACAATAGTAGCTGATGACCGTTTTATTGTTCTAAGCAATCGTAGCACGACAGCTGTAGAGGCTCGGCATCGTCTTCAAATGGTGCGTGTTGTTGATGTCAGTGAGAGAACCATTTGCTGAAAACTTGCTAGAACTGGTCTGGCTGCAAGAAGGCTGCCAAAGAGCCGAGGCTGCTTCCTAGATATCGACGTGCGCGTCTTCAATCTGCGCGCTTACATGTGAATTGGGAGATCGAGCAATGGAGGAATGAGTAGTGCAATGGAGGTCCTTTTTACGGATGAGTAGTGGTTTTGTCTACTATCACCCGATAGTCAGGAGCGAATATGAAGACGTTGAAATGAAAGATTTGTGGACTATACAATTATGAAACGCGAAAGTTTCGATGGTGGTTCTGTGATGGTGTGGCCGGGAATTTCCAAAGAAGCCTATACAGATTTTTAATCATTGTTAAAAGTGGCGCCTTAAATCACTGACCTTGAAAACTAAAACTGGGCACCCGAAACAGTTTTTCAGAAGCACTTACATTTTCTTAGAATTACAGAATTGCGTACGTCCTTCATTATTGTAAACATCTGTTCTCAGTTCTAATATGCAGTAAAAACAAGGACACATAAACAAGAAAAAAAATTTAATTTAATGTAATAATTAATAATAACACGAAAATTAATAACGTGTGTGCCCCCCACGAGCCAAAATAACGTCATGTAGTCGACGCGGCATCGAACTGATTAGGTTTGTAATTGATTCCTGAGGAATTGCGGTAAACTCTTCTTCAAGAGCAATTCGTAACTCCTGAAGGTTGTCCGGTAGAACAGGACGACGACGAATGCGTCTCTGAAGTTGATCCCAAAGATGTTCGATAGGGTTAAGGTCCGGGCTGCACGCTGACCACTCCATCCGTTCAATACCCACCTCATCAAGATATTCGCTAACCACACGTGCTACGTGCGGTCGCGCATTGTCATGCATTAGCATGAATCCGTCACCAATAAAATGGGAATAGGGCACGACAGCTTCTTGCAGAATATCTTGGATATAACGGTGGGCATTTAGCGTGCCATTTTCAACAAAAATGAGCGCTGTATGCGCTTCCGTCGAAATACCCGCCCATACCATGACCGAACCTCCATCGAAAGGCTTGTCGGAGGTACTAGTGATCTCCATGGGTTGTCTGGTAGGATTAAAGTTTGTCTTATTGATTTGGCAAGACTTACAAAGTTTTATATATCTTCTTATGTGAGCGGACACTAGGGGTCAATAACCCGTGGTGTCCGTTGGTTTACATTGGGATGGTGCTCCTTCTAGATTTCGGCGAGATCATTCGTCGAGGAGCTGAAACGGTGTATTATGGTGGTTGGATACTAGCGTGTTCGTTGTTGGCATCATAGTAGACAACCTGGTTCGGTTTCGGGGATGTGATACTCGGTACTATGGTCCGATCCAAAGGACCAATTAACGACATTCTTTATCATCGGTGGCATCAATACGCCGTTACGAGGGTTTCTGGTAAAACAACAGGATCTTCGAATGAAGTTGAAAAATCCTATCCACTTACGCATAGGTTAAAGCAGACAATCACGAGGATTCATGAACCCATAACAGTCAAAATTAGGGTAAACCAATTCGTGTGTTGCACGATAAAGGGTTTGCTTATTTGATTAGTTAACATCTCGTCGAATTCGTTTAGCTTTTTATCGGCGTATTTTAATTCCGTCAGTTCCACATTCGTCAATTTTATCGGTTCCTGATGTATTTGTGTGCTTAGATTAATCCTTGACTCGACAGAACAATCGTTTTCGAGAATGTCGATTGCAGGTATGTAATGTTCAGAGATGTTCTTTTTATCCTCGCCAGTCGTCTCCAACATATAGAGGTCGGTGTAGCCTCTACAGTTGGGTTACAGACTTAACATGCCGGTGCGCTGGACGACAGCACCTTCCATATGATTGTCGCCACACATGACTGTAACGGTAGTAGGGGTTTGAAGGACATACAGCCATAGGTTGGGACCAACTGGTTTCCACGTCTGGATTTCAGCTTTCACGTTGCGAATTGGGCAATCACTCGGAATGGACGTAGCGTGCATCGAGGATAACTGGACCTCGCAACACGGGATTTCGGTTCTCTTCTTCGTGAGGATTTTCTCCCAGATGAAGGATCCTGGTAGATGCTCTTTACATTTGCTCAAGTCTTGCATTAATTGGTAGTGGGTTTTAGGTTGTGACGATACTAGGTAGTGGTGATTAGGGAGTATATAAAAACAGATGGAATTATTCTTATGCTGCATGGGTAATGGTATGAGTTGGTATAGTAGAGGATGGTATTTACCTTAATGGCAAAAATGATCAAGTTGCGTTTGTCTATAATGACGTCGAGATTTAACAACATATAGTAATGTAGAGAATTTTTATTTTCGGGTTTAAACGGTAGGTTGTATTCGCCTTTATAGCTATTGATGAGTCGCTTAAGTAGTGGTGGAGAATCTCGCGTTTGCGAAAGATCTCTTTTATTTCCGAATTGAGTTGGTTGGTATAGATTTTGTTCACAGAATGCGCTCACTTGAGCGCGCTCCTTTCGTGTCTTATCAGGAGACAAGGTTGCAGGAGTTCTTAGATTTCTCGAATACTTTATAGACAGTATGTAGGGACTCGTCCAGAAAGGTAATGTTAAAATGGGTTAAAAGAGTTGGAGACCTTGGCGATGCGTAGATTATTATAGAAGATTCTGCTTGTTGTATTCAACGGAGTGTTCTCATAGTGGGGATCAGTTGTTATGAATGGAAACAGGGATAGCAAGATTGCGCTGATGGCGTTAATCGGAGTCATCTGAAAAGGATGGTTTTAATAGGTTCGTGTGATATTTGATTTTTTTCTTTCCGACTGTCATCTCAACCGTCTGATTGTCGAAGACTTCTGTTATTTTATATGATCCTTTAAAGTGCGGAGATAACATTTTCGACAATCTTGGATTGTTACCCTTGTTTGCAATGTAGCACATGTCTCCAATTCTGAATTTTACGGCAT